TTGAGATATCAAAAAAGTACTCCAGAGTGTTTGTTGTTCAGCATGGGGGTGAGTAGAAAATGAAGGCTAATCATGTTTTGGGTGTACTATTCCTTTAACAAGTGGTAGGTCAGCGCACTCTTGTGCATAGAAGCCATCTGTGTTACTGTCTATTTGATAACATTTATCATTAATACATTACTGTACTAGACTTTAACAGCTTTTTTTTTGAGAATACATAAAACACGATAGACCCATTTATTCAAAGAGACCTGAGAGATTGTTTCCAGTTTAAGCTTTAAGGTATAGTGCAGGATGTTTTTTGGTTTTTCTTCTGGGTGTATCATAAAAATAAGCGGTCCTCCTAATTGTCAATCATTCTGGTGACATGTATACGTAAGGCTGTCCTACGTGCTCGTCCCCATTTTCACTTACCGGCGGTGAGTCTGACAAAGAGGAAAATTTGCAAATCTTCTTTTGGAAAGTGAGTCGTTTTCTCTCAAGAACGTGTACAGAGTTGTGCATGTGCAATCTTTTGGGGGGGCGTGGAGACTTTGGGTCTTTTCAAAAATGTGTGAAAATCCTCCACTATACCTTTAACCTTCATATTTTGTTGAGCAGGTCTTAGTCTGCTGGAGGGTCAGTCTCGTCCGATAACGTGGGACCAATTGCAAATCGTGGATAATGACAATCTGAATGTAGTTCGAGTCATCACTGTGGATGGCCTCCTGCATGGACAACTAACTGTAAGAGGTACTAACACACCGAAACACTGACCTTATGAAATTTCACCTGTAAACACATGAGTACCTGCTACTGAAAGTCAATTCAAATCTGATGCATTTTGATTTAACAAACCTTTTCTGGATTATTCTTGAAATTGGTAAATCAGCTTTTGTTAAACTTTCCAATAGCGCAATAGTATTCCTATTTGATATCTTTAACAACATATCTTTATATGTTTGTTAACTTATCAACTGCACAATTTTATCCTTATCAAAGCTGGTGCATCTATAGTCCTTCAATTTGAGTTGACTCAGAACACAATGATGCAGAATCCTAGATTATCTATGCTCTATTGAAATGTATTCACCAGTTTTCTTGTTCTGCCATTAATCCAGGTGGAAAGGGTTTCATGTTCACCATCAATGACATAAAAGCAGGAGTTGTCTGTTATCACCATGACGACAGCGACTCTACAAAGGACTTTGTCATTTTTCGCATCACCGATGGCCGCCATCAGACCCGACACAAGTTTCCCATCAAAATTCTCCCCAAAGATGACAGCCCTCCGTTCCTTATAACCAACATGCTGGTGGAGGTCTTGGAAGGCCAGACCACCCTGCTCAGAGGCTCCACCCTCAAGGCTTCAGACATGGACTCTAGTGATGACTATATCCTCTTTAATATCACTCGCCTCCCGCAGGCAGGAGAGGTCATGAAAATCCCAGGACCAGGGCTGGCAGGTCAGGAAGACTGACCAAGTTCATCTCTGATCTTATATTGTGTAATGTCTTTAATGCCCTGCTTGTTTTGATTTCTGTTCAGGGTACCCCGTGAGCCGCTTCCTTCAGAAGGACCTTTCCCAGTCCATTGTGTACTACAGACACCTTGGGAACGAGGTTTTTGATGACTCATTTGAGGTTGTTCTGTCTGATTTCCATGATCCCCCTAACCTTTCAGAACCTCAGGTGAGTGATACTGACACATCTTTACCTCAATGGTACCATTCATTACCTGACCAGATACCAGACACGGGCAATGTGGAGTCAACAAGTCATCTCCAATGCATGTATTTGTTCTACCCACTGAAGCAGGTGAGTCCAATCTTCACTGTGCAGATTGGACTCACCTGGTTAATTGGCTGGGTAGATTAAATACATGACATGGAGATGACTTGTTGACTCCACATTGCCCATGTCTGCCAGATACTGTGTAGATAGGTGGTGAATAAATTCCATATCACAGTGAAAGTTCTCAGTCCTCCTGAACCATGAAGACATTAAACAAAGTTTTACAGAATTCCTTCATAGTTGCATATCTATGGCCCCCATTTAGAACACCCTTTTAAAACCATGCTGAGATCGGTCTTAGCACAATAACTAGGATAACTGTTGAGTGTAAAACTTCCTGAACGTCAAGGGTGCCACCATGTGATTTGCTTGTTTACATCTAGAGAGCAGTAGTACCATAGATCATCACGAGGAGGCAAGGAACCGTGCTAGCGTGGTGTGTAAATGGTCGTAAAGACCCGAGCTCAGCACAGTCAACTGATCAAAGCTCGGCATGGATCGGATTTCAGAGGGTAGTGTAAATGGGGCTTGTGAGGTTATTCTACTCTATCCATCCAATGTGTATTCCAGCTACATTCTTCAACTATGAACAAATATAGAATTAAGACAATTAACAGTAATAAAATAATCTGTCAGGTAATGTGAAGTTTTTTTTGGAAAATACAAACCTTATAGAGCAAGGATGTCAAAATGGTTCCAGAAAGGGCTGTGTGGCTGCAGGTTTTCTTTCCAACTAAGCAATAGCAAACCAGACTCCAGTCACCTCATCAAGTCATCATGTTCAGATTTGACTCACTTGATGAGATGATTGGAGTCTGGTTTGCTATTGCTTGGTTGGAAAGAATACCTGCAGCCATACGGGCCTTTCTGGAACCACTTTGACACCCCTGCTATAAAGAAACAGTCCTAGCTTCATTTAGACCCAGATGATTCTCGCCCTAAGGCAGCAGCACTAACTCTATTCTGTATGAAACACATAAGCCAAACCTGTAAACACAATTCACTTTTTTAGCATCTGGGATTGACATCAGCAATAATGGAGATATCATGGCCAAATATTCCTAAATAGCTGAACTATCTTGGCAGAGAGGGAAAAGATCCCTTTTCGTTTCAACAACATAAAATTGTGGTTGGTGCAAGTTGTCTGTTAATGTATAAAGGTGGTCATTTGGAGTTTAAACAGCTTTTTCGACCAGTGGTAAAGGGGTAATAGAGATGAGTTCGGAGAATCCCCCACCAGGAGGAGCCCTTGGGGCAGACCCAGGACTTATTGGTGATGTTCAGTCAGTAGAATGGATTGAAAAGGCCTCAATTTCCTTTTAGATGAGCAGGAAGGTGTTGTTTCTACTAATGCTCACTAGAACATATTATTCATAGGATAGTGTTGCTAATATAATGATGAATGTAATTATAATGGAACTTTATTGATCTCATATTGGAGAAAGTTACCTCTGCATTTAATCCATCCCCTTTGGGAGCCGTAGACTGCCATCAATTTAAGGAGTTAAGGGTTTTGCTCAGAAAGCCAGAGTGGCAGTCTGTGGGGGTTGGTTTGGAACTCACAACCTCAGGATTCCAAGCTCTATGCCTTAACCACTAGCCCTCCACTCCCCTCTGATGCTTAAGTCTGATGCTATTGCTCAATCATTGAAGTAGCCATTTGTGTATAAACTTCAAGAAGATATGAATGTAATTGTATTTTTCCTGTTTTAGTTTGTAGCTGACAAAGCGCTGTCTATCTTCAGGTGGTCGTGGTTCACATAGCCTCTGTTCCAGACCAACCACCAAAGGAGGTTCCTGGTTCCAGGCGGTGTCTTGTGGTTAAAGAAACAGAAATAGCCCACATCACACGGCAACAGCTTCACTTTGTCGACCCAGAGTCGCCAGACAGCGAGCTCACTTACACAGTTACGACTCCACCTTTCTTCTCTGGTCACTACAGGTTAGTTTATTTTGGCCTGCGCTGGTATATGGGTAGAGAGTATCTGTGTCAAACTTGTGTTGTTTTCTTAATTAGCAGCGGTTCAGATGCGGGAAGGTTATTCTTGGTTGACAGCATACCCAAATTTACCAAAGATTCTAATGCACCAGTCCTCAGACTCTTCACACAAGTAAATGACCTTATTCTTAGCAATTTCATTATTTTGTGTGCTATGTGTTTCACTATAAAACTCGTAAAAACTTTTTTTTTTCTCCAGCATGCAGTGAACTTTATGAAAGTAGCCTACATGCCTCCAATCATGGACATCGGCCCTCACCCTCAGTATATCCAGTTTATTCTGTCTGTGACCAACCATCTGGGAAAAACAATCACTGGGATCTGCTTTAATATCACTCTAATGCCAGTGGACAATCAGCCACCAAAGGTGCAATCAACAGCTGTCTACTCTCTATCCCACGTGGGAACTCTCACTTGTAGAAATGTTATGAATACTTTCTGTTTCAGGTTATCGCCAACCTTCTGACTGTAGATGAGGGAGGGGAGTCCTTGCTGGGCCCAGAACACTTGCAGGTGTCAGATGTTGACTCTCTGCCAGAGGCATTGCGGGTCGAGCTCCAAAGGGGACCAGAGCATGGCGTTCTGCACGTTGGTGGCCATCCACTGACACCAGGCCAGAACTTTACACTACAGGACCTGATCAGTCGGAGGGTTAGGTCAGACATCATGCTTAATTATAACATGCATAATTGTGCTAGTCAAACCTAAAAAAAAATTCTTCACTCTGTAGATACCGTAGATAGATAGATAGATAGATATATTCCTTGCAGACCAAAAAAAAAATATATATCCTAATTAATTTAGCTATTTCTGACAGCTATTCAATTCAATTCATTTTATTTCTATAGCGCCAATTCACAACACGTCATCTCAACGCACTTTACAGTTCAACCAGATCATGAAGTCAAATTGATTCAAAGTTTCCTATCAAAGGAAAACCAGTTGATTGCATCGACTAATTGACTCGAAGGCAATCCCTCAAATGCTTGTGGTGACTGTGGAAAGGAAAAACACCCTTTTAACAGGAAGAAAGCTCCAGCAGAAAGAAGCAGAGATACAAAAGGCAACTGTCAACCAGCTCCACAGCAGCACAGCTGATATTTCTCTCTAGGATGGAGTCACAGCTAAACAGACACAGATCAGATGAAGCTACTATGAGAAAAAAAGCAGAGAGCATAGTGTTATGAGATTGAACTAACAAATTCTGCAGAGTGGGAGAATAGAGATAGAATGAAGCAGAATGATGAAAAAGGGGTCCCTATGTCCTCCAGCAGTCTAAGCCTATAGCAACATAACTATTCTAACCCGTCTTCTAGGATATCCTTCTCTTTATGCCCCCGCTGCTGTTTATCACCTAACAGACTCTGTTTTTGATCACATCTCAGCTTCTGATGCTAAAGGTTCAGCTACACTGAATATATTAGCATTCTTTTCTGAGATGTTGCTGCATTTGCTTAGAGACGCTCAGCCTCTCTCCCTCTGCAATGATTTATTTAGCGGACATGACTCCGGTCGACTAGAGTTTGCTTGAAAAATAAACCAACGGGCAGGGACTCTTATAGCAGGCACATAAGTTTAATAAAACTGAAAGATAAATAATCTTATTGTACATGGATTTATGAGGTAAAACAGATTGGCAGTTCTATCTGTTTGTGTTTTAACGTTAAAATATTTGTAATACATTAATTGAAAATAAACACGTTAAGTCCAAAACCACAAAAATAGACAAAAGCTCAGACTATTCACAGTAACTCCTGCTAATTTTGTTTTGCAACCTTCTAAGGCAAGGCAGCACTCTTTGAATAGAATTCAACTTTATTCCAATTGCATTGCTACAAGTACAAAGCAAATGTAAGGGTTAAAGGTCTTGCTCAGGGACCCAGAGTGGCATTCCATGTGAGTGGAGCTTGAACTTTGAACCTTTTAGGAGCCAAACACAAAGGCCTAACCACTAGGCCACCACACTTTGCTGTAATAGCCAAAGACATGCTTTTCACTCCGCAAAAGTCGCCTAGCAACGCTCTTGAGCCCCCCCTTTATATAGAGATAACTGATGTAAATCCTTCGCTGCAGGCAATAAATGACATTTTGTGTGAACGAACCTTAATTTTTTTTCTAAGAAGTTCAAAGAAAGTCCTAACCTTAAGGTATGTGAACCATTATTTTGCTGATTTGTTCTTGCAGGTACAATCACGACAGCTCAGAAACTACAGAAGACACCATTGAGTTGAGAGCAACAGATGGAACTAATTCAGTCAGTTTCGCTCTGCCTGTAAAGGTAATTTTCAAAATTGGAGAAGACCTACCTGTAAATATTGCTATTAGATGATCATCCATTTATGTGCCGCTGAATAAGGAAATCGACATATTTGTTTATAGGTCGTACCTATCAACGATGAGCTCCCGGTGATGGTTACTGGTTTGAACCCAGTTCTCAGATGTCCGGAAGGAGAACAAATAGTAATCACTTCAGAGTACATCTTTGCCACTGATGTGGACAGCGATAACAGAAGCCTTGCCTTCCTGATTGCCCGGCAGCCCTACCATGGGGTGGTTCTGCGAAATGGTGTTATTGTAGATCGCTTCATCCAAGCAGACATTACTGCAGGAATCATTGCGTACAGACACACAGGTAAACCAGCAGTGTTTGGTAGTAGACTTGTAGACAATGTACTATTTTTCAGAATTGTAGAGTGCCATTTTCTCTTTTTGTACTTTGGAGCACAAGGGTAGGAAATAATGGCCGCCTTTTTCAATGGGGCTACATTGTTTCATGCAAAATGCAATGAAGAAGTAACAGTATTAAGAAGAACATCAATTTGTCAAAGGGAAGAGATCACATTGCTTACCTCAGAATAACTTCTGCAAGACCAAGGAAATTCAAAGTGTAACTAATTATTTAAACCCTGTCACAGCATTTTCTAACACTGGAACAAATATGTACGTTTAGTTAGTTTAATCTAACAGGGTTATGATGATGTATGTCACACTTTATTTTCAGAATCAATGTCATGTGCCATGTGATTGAAAGTATGACTATCAATGAGGGTGGGTGCACAAATGTTTTGAGCACAGTTGTTTTTCTGCTTGTTTCAGGGCTGGAGATTGGATTAACTCCTCGACATGACACTATCACGTTTGTCATCTCTGATGGGGAAAATGAGACACCGGCTTTGTGCTGCGGCAGGGAAACTCCCACCAGAGGCAGAGGAAAGACTCCTCAGACACGGGACAGCTTGCCTGTCTACGACCTCCATATCACAGTGTTTCCTGTTGACAGTCAGCCACCCTCACTGGAAACAGGTGGGCTTAAGACAACTTTCTGCATGGGTTGTAGGTGCCCCCCAAAAACTAGATGCCATTTAGACATTGGTTTTTAGGCAAAATGTGGACGGACCATCATGGTCTTGATTTAGTCCAGAAATAGTTGTTGAAACTTAGGCTGTGTTTGGTCGGTCTGATTTTGTCCCACTTCAGTCCAACAATAGACAGTGAAAAGCCATAGTTTTTTGATGATTTAAGATGTTGAGATCCCATTTTTAATGTCTTTAACATTTTTTTTTTAAATTATGGCTTTTCACTTTTCAACCAAATTTAGACACTATCATTGGGGTGTAAATCAGATAACTTTTTCAATGTCCTTTCAACCATTTTTTTCACCGATTAAGTTGCGTCCTGCTGTCCTAATCGCCATCATCATGCAGGGGGCTAAGTTACTTGCCTGGTCAGCCAGGCCTACATTATTTCTAACAACCCACATTTTCAGAGGCATAGACCAGTATTGAGTATTATAGGCTAACAAAGACCTCAACTAGTCCCCACTACTAAGGGGCAGACCTGTTCTCCGGTTCAAATTGCATGTTTTCTAAGCCAAAACAAGGCTTTGTTGGTGCACTCTATAAAGCTTGGAACTCAACACTACTTCTGACACTTTGAATTGAAAACGCTTCCTGATGGGAAGAGAAACATCTTCAAACTTGGAAAATAAATTCCAGTTGTTTGTTTTTTAACATTTTTGGAATGGCTATGAAACTGGATGACAAAGAATTTTCACCAGCAAATACCAAAAACAGAGTCCAGACATAAAACAAGCCACCAAAGTTGGGCAAGGACAAAAAACATTCTCTGAACCCTTGAAAAACCGATCCATTCCGAGACCGGTCCGAGTTTTGACGCCCGTTTACACATCACGCTATCTCAGTTCCTCGACTCCTCGCCTCCTAGTGACGATCTGCGGTATTACTGCCAGTATTGAAGGAGGAAATCAAGCAGTTGGTGGCGGTAATGCACCAAAAGTTGTTAGCCAACCACCATAAAACACAAGAAGACGAAGAAGGAGGGAATCAAGCAATAAGCTAAATTCTTATTAATTTTGGTAGATTTTATATGAATTGTCGTTTTGTTTGTGTTCCCAGGTGAGATCTTTAAGGTGGATGAAGGTGGGACGGCCCAGATAACTGCTGCCCATTTAAGGGCCTCTGACATGGATTCAGTCCTAGACCAGCTTGTTGTTAGTTTGATCTCTCCTCCCCAGTTTGGCTACATAGAAAATGTCCTCCCCAGCCCTGGCTTTGAGAAAAGCAACACAGGCATAAGCATAGGTAAGCATTAGGATGTGTCGAGTTTAATGAAGTACACTGGAAATAAGTAGTTTCATGTGTTTGGTGTTAACCCTCATTTCCCCAGCTTCTTTTCTATACAAGGACATCACCAAGGGTTATATTAACTATGTACAGTCCAGACACCAGGGGATTGAACCCACTGCTGACCAGTTCATGCTTTGTGTCTCGGACGGAAAGCGCAACTCTGCTAACATCCCTTTCTACATTATAATTAACCCAACAAATGATGAAATTCCTGAATTTATGGTACAAAACATCACGGTAAGTTTACTGAATTTCTTTCTTATCCAAAACGTCTCAATAAACACCTTTACTTAGATATTTTTTCACTGAAACACATGTAAAATACATTGACTTGCTGGTTCATTTTCTTCCTGAGGTACAAGAAGGAGAAATGAAACACCTGGACACATCTGTGTTTCATGCGATGGACCTAGACATCCCCAAGAATACCCTGATCTTCTCTGTGGTCAGACCTCCCCAGCATGGAAGCATCATCCATCACAGCAATGGAAACCCAATCATGAAGAGACAGGAGCCTGACCTATGGCCTTCTGTGGCTGCCTTTACTATGAAAGATGTCAAAAAGGGTACATTTTGCTAACCTGACTCCGCCAGATGGATTTGCTCCGAATATCAATCTGGAAACCTTCCATAGAAGTAATTTTGGGAAGGGGCGAAAATACTGGTTAGCTGATTGGCCTATGTTGGTGATAGACGGGCCAAATAAACCAATCAGATCAACGAAGCATATGACGTACTAACAGAGCGACGACGAAAACACAACCACAAGCCAGGCTACTCTTGCCGAAACCAGTCGGGAGAGGAGCAAAAACATCTTTTCCTCTGAGAAAAGCCTCCAGAGCAGTGTTTTGCTCTTCTTTCAATGAAGAAATACTCTGTAATTCCGATAAAACTTGCTCGATAGCCACGTTAACGCTAGTGTCATCGGCTGAAGCCGCCATGTTCTTTAGACTGAACGGTCGCGCTTCTCGTTGCGTCACACCTCAACCCGCCCCAAAGCCAACGCTGATTGGACGTTCGTTTGGTGAACGGCTCCAAATTTTCTTCAACGGAGAGTCTCCAGACTGACTAGCGAGCGAAATCTTGAAAGCTCGCGAGATCAAGATGGTCTCACGAGGCTACTGTCTTGCGTCCTGTCCACCCCCAGCGATCATCTCAACATATCGTCCTGCCCCTCAGGGTCCCTTGTCACTGCCCATTGGAGTGGCGTTTATTTCACTTTTACATCAAGGTGTTTCACTTTAAATGTTCCTGACAAATTGGCCTTAACATTTTCTGTTTCAAATGGGACGGCTGCCACTTTTTTAATAATTTAAGAATCACATACCTTTAGCAGGTAATCATCAAAGCAAAAACTAAGCAGTGTAAAGGTGTTTAAAGCTGCCATGTAAGTCTTGGGCAGTTTGGAGATGATCAATAAGCAGAATTAATTGGGCCCGCTGTGGTTAGATGTTATAGCTGAACTTCTTTTTATTATACATTCTTAATTCTTCAACCACAAAACAGGCTTAAATCTGATAAAAAGGGACTTTCGCTTAGCTTTTCAAAGATGTTTCAGCATCTCTTCAGGAGTCTTTCTTAATTCTGTCAGTTCACAACAGAGCGATGTGAAGTTGGAGTGCTGATGTTTTAGAGAAACACGTAGGTTAATTTTTCTGCCCATTCTTTAGTTGTGCATGGCTTTTGTATCTTATCATGAAAAGCATGTTTATGTAACCTGTTTGGAGTGAGTTATAGGACGGAAACCACTTGAAAGCTGAAGAAACAATCCTTCACTCCTGTTTAGTGATGGATTTTTCTCTTTTAGCAAAGGCTTTCTTCACCTATCTTTTAAACCATCTGTCCTCCCATTTCCAAAATGTAAATATTTTGTTTGTCATTACAAATTGAGAGCTGCATGATGGTGCAGTGGGTAACACTGATGCCTTGCAGCAAGATCGTTCGGGGTTCAATTACTGGCCCGCAGTCCTTCTGCATGGAGTTTGTATGTTCTCCGCATCCATGCTTGGGTTCTCTCCGGGTACTCCGGCTTCCTCCCACAGTCCAAAAACATGACTGTTCAGTTAATTGGCTTCTCCATATTAGTGTGAGTGTGCATGGTTGTGTGTCTTGCCCTGTTAAAGACTGGCGACCTGTCCAGGGTGTACTCCGCCTCTCACCCATAGACTGCTGGAGATAGTCACTGGCCCCATTGCGACCCTGACAAAGGACTAAGCGGGAGAAGATGAATGGGTGGATTTCAATTAAATCCAAATTAATCCAATTTAAAAATACTTGCTTAATGCCAAAGGGAAATCAAATAAATTATGTGCCCTTTGGTCTTGAGCCACAAGTATAGAGCTAACTCTGGCACAGAGCGACTGGCTCTGCTTCGCTATGCAATGCATATGTGTAGTTGTTTAGTTTCTCTAATTTTTGCTTTGTTTTAGGTATTCTTTCTTTGTGAAAAAAAAATGTCTGAGTTTCTTTTTGGGTTTGAAATTCACTGGTATGTTATATTTGCAATGGATTGGAAAAAGACTTAAGTTGCCTCTGATTCCAGCCTGCTTTATGGTTTTATGTCCAGATGATGGACGATTTACACAGGCTTGTTTAATGTTTCCATGACTCAGGTTTTGATCGTTTTCCCCATTTTCCATCAGGTTTGGATCTGATGTATCTCCATGATGACAGTGAAAACATGATGGACAGTTTTATCGTTCAGTTGACTGATGGCAAACATCAGCTAGAGAGACGGGTGATGGTGGAAGTTCTACCAGTGAATGACGAAGAACCTCATCTTATCAGGTTTCTTGAATGTCTTGTTAACAATTTTTTGTCAAAAGTCAGTTCTCATTCGACCTTTTAGAACAAAAGTGAGCCCTGTGTTCTTCTTGTAGGAACAATGGGCTTGAGGTGAAACCGGGAGAAGCTAGGGTTATATCCAGTGTTACATTATTTGCTGAGGACAAAGATACCCCCTCTACAGAAATCATGTACATTTTTGAGAGCGTTCCAACACAAGGAATACTCCAATTACAGGTAAGAATAAACATTTCAAAGCTGAGTCCCCTGTTGTGGCCACATGCAATACTGATGTCCTTTTGTTGCCTCAGTCCTTTAGGAAATATTACAGGCTAAATTCTGTTTAATCTTTTATCTCCCTTGTCAACCTCCAACTTCCATTCTACATGCACTGCTGGTAAGAAATCAACTGTTTATATGTGTTTTAGGAAGGCCATAATTGGGTGACACTTACAGCTGGGAGAAGGTGTACCCAGGACATGGTTGACATGAACCTTTTGCGTTATATACACACTGGCCATCATGCCACTAAAACACAGGACTTCTTTGTTTTCCACTTGATGGATGGAAAGAATCAGTCACCACCACAGCACTTCCAGATTTCTGTCAGAGATCTGGAAAAAGGTACTGGAATTTAGCATTAGATGTAGAATTACTTCTCTTCTCTTGTTATTGTTCTGGCTACCGGTACACATGATCAGCACTGTTATAAAAAGTCTTTACGAAACTAAGTCCTTGTAGAAAGCAATAATTACAGTATATGAATAAGATATATGGTGCCTTATTTGATAGCGTTTGAGCATGTCACTCCTTTAATTAACAGGGAAGTTCTAAACTTGATTTATGCTTGCCGCAATTGCAAGTTCCTCATGGCCACATTATGTTATTTTGGGCTTCAACACCCCTCCGCATGGACCCCATAGGGACAAAATGTAAGCTTGGAGAACCTAGGAAAATTTGTAAGTATGCGGAAGGGTCAAAGCAGAAAACATGGATAGTGACCAGTAGTTCCTGCTGGTCAGGGTTTATGGTCCGTAGTCCCAAAGGGAAAATGGGCCATCAGTTGACTTTCGAAGGCTGAAGAAAGCTAGCCTGGATGCCATTCCGAACTTAGTCCCGCCCACAACGTTTGAGGTCGGGAAGTTCGGTCTGGCATTGCTCAATAGTAGCGCGAGTATGCTCGCACAATATCTGGCGGGCCAATCAAATTGTCAGGGCGGGCTTTATACGATGATGGACAGATGATCAACAGGAACGTAATCAACCACGTCACCAAAGCGCGCTTGGGTGACAACAACAATGGCTGCCGCTGGAGAGTTGAGGTGTGTAGATCCTGCTATTAGGTCTATTCTAGAAGATATCGACAGCAAATTAATTTTAAAAGAGGAACAGAGAAACGCGATCAAGGCTCATCTTCTTATTCTAGGCGTGCAACTGCACGCTTTGATTTTTGTTGACAACAACTATGCGTCGCTTAACATACGTCACGCACTCCTTGCTCTTATTGGTTGTAGGTCTATCCAATTGAGTGCAGAGGCATTTTTTTCCTGGTTCGTTCGAAACATGCCCCATAATCACAGCTCTATGGAGCAGCATCAGACTCATATTCTGACTAGAATTGAGTAGGACTACGTCAGGCTAGAAGAAAGCATGAGACATGACAGAATTAGACCAAGTGTCCCCAGTTGGGGACTCGTGCTGACACTTTGGCACCCATGCATCCTTCACAAAAGTAAAATCAAACAGCAGTAGGGTCTTGTGGTAAATGAGGGGTGTAAAAGGCATGATGTGTGGCCATTTTGCCTCTACACCCATCCCCTTGGTTTGGTATCGAAATACAATGACTTCTGGCTGGTAACCTATCATTCTTAGGGATGCATTGGGTTGGTTATGAACAATTGGGACATTGCTGGACTCTGATGGGATCTCTCCCTTGGTTCTTCTAAGTTTGTGAAACAATAGTGGACCCTGTTTTGGACATATGTGGCCTGCTTGAAAGGCTTCAAGACCCACGATTTGCTCCAGAAATCTTTCTCAGGTTGATGGTTGTACATTTTAAAACTTGTTTTAGGTCAGTTCTAGCATTAACTCTTAACGTAGGCGAGGATTTAGGTGGGAGATACTCCAGGACACCATGGCTTTCTTAGAATGATTTGATAACAACCAACAGCAAAGAAACATTAATTAATGAAGTTTTCTTTCCTTATACAGACAGACTTCTAATTGGAACCTCTATAACTTCCTACTTGTGCTTTCAGGAAACATTGCCATCTTTGTGAAGCCGGTAAATGTCAGCCGAGGAGACCGTGTGGTTCTTACCACCGATGTGCTGCTGGCCACAGATGACACAGACAAGCCAGAGGAGCTTCTGTACGTTATCACCAGCCCACCTGCTCACGGACACATAGAGTACATCAAACATCCAGGGGTGATTATATCCACCTTCAGCCAAATGGACATAGCAGCAAACCTTGTTGCTTACGTCCACGACAACCGAGGAGAAAAGGCAACAGAAAAGTTTCAGTGAGTCTGAATACCTTTAAGTTTTAACAACTTTCCATGACAAGTCAAAATACCAAAAGGGAAAAAACCCTTAACATTTAAGTTTTGTTTAATCTGCATACACTGTCTGAGTTTTTGCAAGTTTCAGGCTGATTCTCTTTTTATGCACAAAATGTTTTTGATCGGGCCCGCTTCAGCCTCATCATGCTTCATGCTTCGAGTATTATACAGGGGGGTAACGAGGGGCAATTAGCCTCTCACAACCACCTCCTAATCGTAAGGTTGGGAAAAAAGCAAACATGTTTGAAATTCAATCGGACCTTGTGAGGCGTTTGTAGACAAATTCAATTCAGTGTATTTATAGCGCCAATTCACAACACATGTCATCTCAAGGCACTTAACAGTTCACCAGATCTTACAGTCAAATTAATTCAAAGTTTTCTATCAAAGGAAAACCAATTGATTGCATCGACTCGAAGGCAATCCCTCACACTAAGCGTGCTTGTATCAACAGTGGAGAGGAAAAATCCGAAAAACGTTAGAGATTGAACAAACAGATTCTGCAGAATAATGAAAAGGCGTCCCTATGTCCTAAATTCTGCTGTTGAACAGAACTACAAGCCAATTTACCCGAACCTGCGCGCTGCTCACAGTGCAGTTCTCCGACTAGCGCCTTCTCTAGGAGGTGAGTCTGAAATGTCGTTTTTGGACGTAGAGTGTGAGCCAGTAGATCACATCCTAGCGTCGGGCCGCACAGTGTAAGAACATACATCGTGAGCTGTGAACTTTCAAACCCTGTGGTTGTGTCGTACAGTTTCAGCTATAGCTGAGTACAACGATTAAAAATATCGTACAGGGTACGCCCGGTCAACATAAAAAACTCAAAAACACGATCCATCTTTAGCTTGTCGTCATCCTCATGAAGAAAAGAAGCGTCAACAAAATAATTTAATCATCACTGACTTAAACAACACTGCACAGACTACTTGTAACCTCCTGACTTAACTAGACAAAGTTTTGGTCCAGATCCTGTATGCTAACACCCGGTCTGTTGCGTGTTTTAACAGGTTTGTTGTAAGCAATGGTAAGACTAGTCGACACGGAAGCTTAGAGCTGCATGTGGAAATGGTGGATCGTGTTCTGCCATCGCTGACGTCCAACAAAGGCCTCCAGGTCCCTCAGGGTTCCACCATGATCCTTGGCCCAGAATGTCTCTCTCTGTCGGATCCTGACACTCCACCTGGAGCCCTGACCTTTTCTCTCCACCAGCCTCCGCAGTATGGGACTCTTCTTTTAGCTGGTGTTGCACTGACTGCTGGCTCAAACTTTTCAATGAAACACATCAAGGAGCTGGAGGTGACGTACAGACATGACGGGGGACCATCTCAGATCGACCGGTTTGCCTTCACGGCCTCTGACACGTCCAGACAAGGTTTTCTGTTAGATGGAAAGCTGCAAACGGAGCCGGTGTTTTTCACCATTCAGGTGGGGAAAAGAAAAATATACAGGTTATGAGTTAAATTGATTTTAATTTGGTTTTGCTACCATTTCCTCTCAGTTTAGGACTCCACAATGGAGAGCTAAGATAAATATGATTTGGCACAAACATTTCTGGTTTATTTTCAGATCAAGCCTTTGGATAAATCTTCTCCAGAAGTAATGAAGCTACTCCCACTTTGGAAAGCAGAGCTTTTACCCGATGGCAGATATGGGATTTTCCTGACATCTCGAGAGCTTAAGGCGCAGGACAGAGACAGCAGAGAAGAAGAGCTCATATTTTGCATTGTTCGTTCACCTTATTTTGGCTACCTTGAAAACATTACCACAGGTCAGTATAACGATGTCATTCTATCCACCCTGCATGATGCTGGTCAGTTCACTACTTTGCCTTTTGGCTGTTATTCCATTTATGTAGGGTACCTTTAAAAGGGTCAGCCTTGGGAATTTACAGTTCTAAGGTATCATTTTTGGTTAATTCAAATATTGATGTAAGTCAATAATTCAATCATGCTTTTAGCGACAATGGAGAGATAAACTCATAAAACCTCCTGCAGAACCAGAACTTAGCATGAGCGGCCATGTGCTGAGGCTGACTGGGGTTCAAGGAGAATCAAGAAGACATAGAAAAAACAAGCTGAGATACAAAAGGCAACTATTAACTCTAAGAAAGCTCCCATGTCAGATGATAACAGAGAGAACACAATGGAAAAAATCTAAATCTAAATAAGTAATTTTTTTCTCAAAATAAGTGCATCTGTTTCAAAACTGAGAAGGCAAGTGAGAGACCTCGCCAATGGAACAAGACAATTTACATTAAAAAAAAATTTGCATTATCTCATTTCAAGTGCATATGATCTAATTATCTTATTTTAAGAGAAAGAAAATACTAATTCCAACTGCAAATACTCCCACCCACCTACTCAAATTAGGGGTAAATACTAGGCCTGGGCAAAAAATCAACTCAATTAATTAATTCGAATTTGTTGTTGCGGGTGATAAAAAAAAAACAAAACAAAAAAAACAACGCTGAAATGTTGCCTCCCCGGAGCTTCTTGTTGCTGGAATATTTACTCCCACAGTGCAGCGGCAAGTAACATCATGGCTATCATAGACATAATATACCGAGACGCCTCATTTGAAGGCTGTTACAACATAGCCTCGTGAGACCATCCTGATCTCGCAAGCTTTCAAGGTTTAACTCGCAGATCAGTCTGGAGACTCTCCGTTGAAGAAAAT